CCGATGGTATTCAATTCAGTGTTGCCAATACCGAGAGTTCTTCTTATCCATATCTTACAATGTACACGCAGTGACTACACAGTGATCTATCCAATGGAGTCATGACTACTGCTGACTACTGGGTCTTCTAAAGCGAGAGTTTGTCTTGTGAGTGTTCTTCTTACTCTTAGCGAGGCTGCACTGTCTGGTGTAGTAAAATACCGGTACTAGTGCATATTTTCGGAGTGAGGGAGGCTAGGGTGACATGGATGCAGCTAACGAGGTTCACGCTCTTGTCGATCGGACACCGGTTGTGAGACTCACCATGACTTGAGATGCATGGTGAGTCCGAGTAAGACTAAGCCTGTGTCCTTGGCATAACAAGATTAACATGATCAGGCATGGTACATTGATGGGTGGCCAGCCGCCGCCTGGCAAAAGATTCAAGAGTTGTCACGATAATGGTGCTACATCTACTACTACTAGTACAGTACTAGTATAGTAGTAATCTGACATTGTGTACATTGTGCACAAGCTGGCTTGCGCCGTTCGATTTCGGCGAAGTGTCGAGACGCTGTTGCCATGCCATTCACGCATGCGTTCAGTAAACTTCAATGGACTTCGTGCGCAAACGTTCTCTCAGCGCACGTAACCAGGTAACGACTGATGCGCGGGGTGCTCGAGTCCGAGGACATAATTTTTGGATTCCGTTCATTCTGATCTGCTGGATTCGTGAAAATAATTCATTGTGTTTTGAATGCAGCAAGGTTATGTTTCTTCCTCAAAGTCAACTATAGTTCATGTCAAGCGTTTTGTATCATAGCTATCAGTTGAATTAGAATACAGTTATAGAATTACCCGGTGTAAAGGACTTCAAAATGCCTGCCGCCGGGAAAGGAGGAAAAATGATGAATCTCATCAATTACAGGATGAGAATCACATTGCAAGATAGTCGAATTTTCATCGGAACGTTTCTCGCGTTCGACAAGCACATGAATCTCGTACTAGGTGATTGCGAAGAATTTCGGAGAATAAAGCCTAAGAATCAGAAGCAGCCTGAACGCGAGGAGAAAAGGACGCTTGGATTGGTGCTATTGCGTGGTGAGCAGTTAGTGTCCATGACTATTGAAGCACCACCTGCTGAAAAGGATAAGAGGCAGGCTGCTGCGTCTAGTTCTCAGCCTGGACCTGGCGTTGGACGTGCAGCCGGTCGTGGAGTTGGCATTGCAGCACCAACAGCACTAGGAGCTCCCAGGATGGCTGCACCCGCTGGTTTAGCCGGTCCGACAAGAGGACTCGGCGGTCCACCGATTGCTGGTCCCCCAAGCGGCCCGCCTGCTCGTCCTCCGGCAGGTGCTCCACCACCAGGTATGATGATGCCACCAATGGGTAGGGGAATGGCAGGGCCACCCCCAGGCGGCCCGGGTGGACCTCCTCCGGGCGGCCATCCAGGCGGCCCACCTCCTGGCATGATGATGCCCCCAATGGGTCGTGGTGGTCCACCGCCAAGAGGTCCACGACCACCATTTTAAGTACATGTACAGTACCCGTTGGTATAAGAATTCACTAGTCAGTTGTCACATGGCTGTCTTTGACATGCCATTGCTCAGGTGTGACCTGTTGCACATTTCCCAAGTTGCCATCAGAACATACCAGAAAAGGAAAACATGAGTACTTTCTCAGGTTCATGCCTGTAATCCAGCATGTGAAGACTTGATCCACAACTTTGTGTTGTCGAATCATGTTTGTACAAAACGATTTAGCTCCATAAAAATTGTTCTCGTGCCCCTTGAGAATGTTTTGCCGCGTTTCAGTGGCGATGCCCTTTTTGATCAAATTCCAGTCCTGTTTGAAATAGGATAATCTCTGTTTTGCTATGATTGTACAACGTAGCTGCTGTGTGGGCGCTGTAGTCCATGTACGATATCTCTTCGTCATGCTACTTTTCTTGATCTTTCCGTATGATTCGTCTGGATGTGTGTGTGTGCGTGCATGTGTGTGTGTGTGTGCGTGTGTGTGTGTGTGTGTGTGTGTGTGTGTGTAGTTTATATGTACTCTGCATGTGCTTGGTTGCTGTGAGCTTGCTTGTGTATGCTTCTAAGTGTGCTTGTGTATGCTTCTAAGTGTGCTTGTGTTTGTTTGTTGAGTTCAACTTGCATTCCAACTGTTGCGATGATATTGACTGATGGGACTTGCCAGTCCTATGTAACATGGTGTCACTGCTGGTTGAACACTGATGGATGCAGCAGTGCATACCTGATCAAGGTCTTGTTTCATTAGTTTCTTTGTGCTAAGTAACTTGAACTAACTTCTGCCGCATTCCATTGTATGTAGTCAAGTGTACAGGGGGGAGGGGGGTGCATGTACTATTTTCCTGCTACATGTAGCTCGAGTGGCAAGAGACGTCACGACTTCGAAGCGGAGACAGCTGCGCCTGATGTTTTCACCGGACCTGGACTTTATGTGTACCGTATTTCCCCCAATAAAATTAATGGAAACAACTCCGCCACTGGTAAAGTACAGTGTACCAATATCGCATGATCTTGTTGTGGTAATAGCTGTTGTCTTTTGCCCATCACAAGTACCGGTCGGTATAGTGCATTGACTATTGTAGTTACGGTACTGCTCAATGAAATCTGACCGAGGTACGCGCCGGGTGTTGCGCAGCCTAGACCTGCGAACACTGGGCTGCGAAATGGTGCAGGGCGCAAACTTGACGCACGCAATCGGATTTCATTGAGCTGCACTGTAGTTGTTCTTTTTTGTGCTATTGCAATGTAGTTTTAGTTTGTTGGCATAGACATTTGCTTCAACGTCGCAGGGCAGCTGTCCCCCTCGCACCATGAGTGCCCTGAAGATATTAAGATGCCACGTTGACTGACCTGGAGTATGCAGATGATACAGTCTTTGTAACTGACAACCGTTGTGACGCAATTCTCACTCTGTCTACCTTCTGCTCTGTGGCTGGAGAGTTTGGCTTAACTGTCAATGTAATGGCAGTAAGACGAAACTCCTTGTGGCTGGTGCCCACATCACACCATCTGACTCCGCCGACATTGCTCTTGAGACAATAGAGAGTGTGCCATCATTCCTCTACCTTGGATCTGTGGTTACACCGGACACTCGCTCTAGCCCAGCTGTGCGGCGACGTAGTGCTCAAGCATACAGTGCTTTTGGCGGACTGCAATGTGTCTTTCTGGACAAAAACCTGTCTCTGCGCACCAAGCGACATCCCTTCTCTGCCTGCATAGCGTCCATCTTGCTGTATGGTGCTGAGTGCTGGACACTGCTGAAAGACGACCTTGTCCAGATTGACCGCTTTCATCACCAAGCCGTGCGCACCATTCTGGCAATCTCCAAGGACCAGCGATGGGATGAGCACATCACCAAGAGTCCATAATCCCCCATTATGGACTCTTGACATCACCAATAGTGAGTTACGTAGTCGGTGGGGTGACACCATGCTATAGTGTCGACATGTGTCTGCCAGGGTCGCTTCGAGTGGCCAGGGCACTTGGCCAGAATGCCCAACTACGCGCTTCTCAAGCAACTTCTGTTAGGCCGGCTGCCCATTACTCGTCCGGCATGTGGTCCTCAAAAAGGTGGAAGGATGCAGCTGTTCTTGACGTCAAAGCCAGGGGTATCCCCATCTCGTCCTGGTCTGAAAACAAACGGCAGTGGCGTACGGAGTTCGTGAAATGGGCTGTCCCGCACTCACCGCCACCACCAGCAACGACGATAGTCTGTGACACCTGTTCACGAACCTTTTCCAAACCCGGCCATCTTGCTAACCACAAATGTCTGGCAGAGCGGCAGCTTCCGATCCCCTTACAACGCGGCTCAGCCCAGTGCTCTACTTGCTCAACATGGTTTCAAAGCAGAGGAGGTTTGAAGTTTCACCGGTGTTCACCACCGCAGCACATCAGTCACTTGCCCAGTCTAGGCTTCGCAATGTCAACAGCAGGGACAACCAGACCAGATGGAATCCCTCAAATGTCAGACATGTCATTACTGCTTTTGTTCTGTGTCTCCACAATTGCCATTGTGGGCAACATGTTTCAGCTGTAGAGCGGCTCCAATGCCAACAATGCCAATGGCAACATCACTGCTGGCTCTGTAATCTACGCTTCCCGGCGATGTGCTCACTGCTCAGGACATGTCTCGGCATGGATGTGCCCGTGAAACTCTCCCTGCCTGACTCTGGCTCCTTTATGGAGTAATATGGCCCTAGTGGCAGCCATGCATTCGTAGTTAGTGTGTGTGTTTGTGTGTGTGTGTGTGTGTATGGTGTGTGTGTGTATGGTGTGTGTGTGTGTGTGTGTGTGTGTGTGTGTGTGTGTGTGTGTGTGTGTGTGTGTGTGTGTGTGTGTATGGTGTGTGTGTATGGTGTGTGTGTATGGTGTGTGTGTGTGTGTGTGTGTGTGTGTGTGTGTGTCACCATCTATTAAAGCCAACTGTGCACTGCAGTGTTTGCGACCGCCATCTTAGTGCGTCGGGGTACAAGCGGCATAAGTGCAGTGCGGCCTGTCAACTTCCTGTCAGCCAACAGCCTGGTGCAAAGTCGTGTCAGCGTTGTGGTAGATGGTTCAAGAGTGCTGGTGGGCTGAAGGTACGTAAGTGCCCTCTCGCAAGTTCCTCCCAACAGCCTTCGGACTCTGTCGATCCTGCACCTCGCCTAGTGCTTCAACACCAACATTGTTGCCCGTCATGTAACCGGTGCTTTCGATCTGCTGCTGGATTTAAACGGCACAATTGCGAGCGTGGCAAGCGACCAACAGCGAGGGAGCGTCTTGAGTTCAAGTTCTGCTGTGCGTGCGGCGAGAGATATCGCAGACAGCAGGATCTGCAGCGGCATGAGGCCGGATGTTCTGCCGCGACGCCGTGATGCTACCCCTTTGTTCCCCTCCTCATGAGTGCAGCTTAGCCGTGTAACGGCAGCTGTTTGTCAAGGTGTGTGTGTGTGTGTGTGTGTGTGTGTGTGTGTGTGTGTGTATGTGTGTGGCCAGAAAAAGCCACTTCATAGCTGTGTGGTGTAGACCAGGCTGAATAGTGGTGGCCAATTCTTCAGCCTTGCAAGCTGTTGAATGGTGCAATCCCTGCACCAGTTGCTATGGCTTCTGCTGTAGCATCGCTATCATCACCTCCGGCGATGGGTGTCCAATGGTCCAAATGGTGTGGTGTGTGTGTGTGTCTGTCTGTCTGTCTGTCTGTGCCTGTCACGGTGGCACGCGTGCACACACGCACACCACCAACAACGACAACAACAAAGCAAACGTGCACAGCAGATCACCCGGCTTGTGAACTTCCAGTGCCAGACAACCGAACACACACACACACACACACACACGCGCGTGACTCGGCACACTGGAGCGGAACAGAGTGGCGAGTATGAATAACAAACAAACTTCTACATGTAGTTGGTAGTTGATCTCGCAAAGATGGCATTTCACTATTGAAAAATATTTGTCCATTGATCACGTACTGTATACACTAGTAGATCTGTCAAGAGTGAATCATGTTTGTAAATGTCCCGATATGTCATGTGTATGTGTCGGTTGGCTGTAGCCCTGCCCCCCAGCCTATTATTATCAGGGAGCTGTACCGGCAACTCGGCCCTGATTATTATCATTTTTTTGTTTCTTACTTCATGGTTTCATGCGGCTGGCTTTGTAAATAACTTGTGACCCATCATCTCGTAAGAGACGGTACATAACCCAGGACCGCCGGAAGCAACTGTTGATTGGTCCGGCAGTGGCACAGCCTTTCAGACGTTGTGTATGATTATCATGGCGGGTAAACATGCCCTCCACAGCACAATACGTGTTGGTGGCCAAACAGTTGGTCCGGTGATAACCTGACCAACCAGACCGATGATAACGTGACCAACCAGACCGTTTCCGGCGGGCCTGTAACCATTGTGTACTCTTGTTACTATTTTTACTTGACACTTGATTCAACTTACATGTACTTGATTCAAGCTCAATAAAAAATGACGTGGAGTAGAGAATAATAATAATTATCTTATTACTACATGTACTTCCTGGCCTTTACCATGACATTGTATGCATCCACTGATCCGGCAGCGGCCAGGGAGCAATAAAATACATGACTGTACTCCACTATGATATTTCTTGCTATGTCACAAGTAACAAGTTACAAGTGTAGTTAGTATAATAATAGTAAGTATAGTTGTGTGTATCAATTCAAGAGTGCATAAACTCTTGTGTGTACGTATATCTTTTTTTCTTTTTTCTTTTCTTTTTAGTAGTAAAAGCCTCTTTTACGGGCGAACAAAACACAGGGTGCGTTCTTATATTCTCTAGCTTCTAGAAGAAGAAGAAAAGAGAAGTCGAAGAAACTGGGATTACTCAAGAACGGGTCTCGAAGAATTCGGAGATATTTTGCACATGTCAAGCAAAATGAAGCGTCAAAGGGGCGCGGTCTTGAGTGATGAATGTATGTGCGTATTGCGTATGCGAAAAGGGAAATGCGTACACTCATGATGAACACGTGGCTTTTAGTCGTAGTTCGCATGCGCTGATCCCAAACCGCGGGAATCTCCAAGTTTCAACCACCTCTGAAGCTTGGAGAGCTTGGAGAGCTTTGGAGAGCCTCCTAAAAGTCGGAGAGGATATAAGAACAGCTCTCGAACTTTTCGGAGAGTCTCCAACTTTTCCGAGAGGATTTAAGAACGCACCCACAATTTGCCATGGCGGTGTACTACACGTATATCTACACTTTAAAAGTACTTGTACACAATAATTACATAAAGTAAGTAAATAATAATTATTAGTTATGAATGAATGATTACATCACAATCATGTGACGTACATAGACTATTAGTATTGCAATGATTCATGCATATGCATGGCGACATGATGTACATCATACATGTCCATGATCGATCCACTGCACTACGCGTATATACGCACTAGACTATCAGTATCACTCTGATTTTTCGAATATTTTTGAATGTCAATCGAGCATGTTCGAAAAAGAAGGGCGTGCATACGCATACGCAGGCTGTTGTTTACGAAACTCACCCTCTATCTCGTCCGTGCTGAAGGGTACTGCTGAATGGTTTACTCCGCAACCTCTCTTTGAAGAAGAGAGCTAACGCCAAACTCTCCATGGGATATCGCGGGGAATAGCAAGCGGAGAGGAATGTGAACTTCAGCAAAGCACACGTTTGTGCTATTGAGCAGTGACTGGGCATGTCCTGGCCGTATCTGACCGTTTCCCTACTACATATCCTACACCATGGGCCAGGTCATGTCCGCGATACAGAGCCCTAACCAGGCTGCTGTTGCTGCTGCTGCCGCCGCAGCGGAGCAAGGTGAAAATGCCAGTCCCCCAATCAATGAAAATAGAGGACGAAAGAGACGTCATTCTGCTGATAACGAGGACGCAGACGATGAAAACCCTGAGAATATCAGCAACAGTACGCCTCTTCAGTACGTTACTATAAAGCTGTCTAAAATCGGTGTATATTTGATCTGTGCTGCCTTTCTAACACACACCACACGCACGCATGCACACGCACACACACACACACACACACACACACACACACATACACAGAGACGCACACTCTCGCGCGAGCGCGCGCCCGCGCACACACCTCTTCCTTCGCCCACTGCCACAATTGGCTGTGTCCCTGAAACGGGCGACTTGAAGGAGTGCTGGCTTCGGGACGTACACACACACACACGCATACAGTACTGTCGGGCACCAAAGAACGGCCAGGCTAGAATTTCACCAATTTTTAAGAACGGTGTAGGCTGGATTTTTGCAGATAAGAACGGAAACCGTAATACTTATACACTATACACTATAATGTACACGCAGGCGTATAACTCTGCATAAATAATGCATAAATAATGTACATGTAAGACTGTACCATCGAATAAGAACGAAAATGCTGTGTTCGCTAAAAAATAAGAACGGGCTAGGCTAGAACCCTGACTCCCAGTTCTTCGGCGCCCGACAGTACTGTAAACACACACACAAACACACACGCATGCATGCACACACACATACACACACACGCATGCACACATACACACACACAAAATGGGATACTATAGTGCATTCGCCAAATCTGGGCCCATAGGTTTTCACAGTCTCACTTTATTCTTATTCAAGATTGTGAAGTCGATGACTTGTATACTAGTAGGTCAGACATATGATAGCCGTTGTTTTAAGCCTAAGATAAAGTGAATGCGGTGAAAATTTATCAAGATATGTGCAAAATGTATTTTTTCACAGATATTTGACAGATCGCGTACAATGTGCATTGGCACAATACATAATGATATCATTGTGCAACACACGGTTCCGCTGCTGTTCCTCCGCTAGAGATCGCCCGCACGCATGCTGTGCCGCGCGAATACAGCCTCTCCAAACTGCTCGATCCTGGGCCGTCATGGAGAGAGTTCGTCAAGATGGTGCACTTACATGTATGGTCGTACTGTAGTAAGGGACACTGCGTTTCCGAACATGGTGTTCCACCGCCTTGTAATATGCTGTCAAACTAAAACATGTGCAGTCAACTTTGCGTATAACGACACTCGGCGGGGCATCAGAAAAGTGTCCTTATTCGCGAAGTGTCCTTGTACCAAAAGTCTCATTATATGTATACAGGTAGATGGGACTTTGCTCTGGGCATGGAAATTCTGTCGTTATTCGCGAATTGTCGTTATATCCGCAGTCGTTATTAGCGAAGTTGACGGTAGTTGTACTGTTGTAGTGTATCAGGGCCCCCGATTTGCCCCGATTTGCCCCGATTTGCCCCGATTTGGCGAATGGACTATACTGTAGTAATCAGAACTTTTCTTGTTACCCTCTTGAGTGGTTTATCACTACTCAATACATCGATGGTTACCCCGTATTCAATTTTCCTGTTGTGTGTGTGTGTGTGCCTGTGCACGCGCGCGCGCGCGTATGTGTGTGTTGTGTGTATGTCTGTGCGCATGCGCGCACGTGTGTGTGTTGTGTGTGTGTTGTGTGCGTGCGTGTGTGTATGTGTGTGTGTGTGTGCGCGTGTGTGCGTGCGTGTGTGTATGTGTGTGTCTGCGTGCGTGTGCGTGTGTGTGTGTGTGTGTGCTTTCTGCACTTACAGGAAACGCATAGCATCTACATCTCAGTACATCTACAGCAAACTGTTCTTGGACGGAACCGGCTCTGATGTAACGATTGTAGCACTTGGTTAGTACATCACTGGTGTGTGCCCGTGTGTGTGTGTGTGTGTGTGTGTGTGTGTGTGTGCGCGTGTGTGTGTGTGTGTGTGTTTGTGTATCCATCAAGTCTAAGCGTCTTGTCTACAAGGCCATTGTCCTCCCTGGAGCAGAGACTTGGCCCATGAAGGCCCGGCAGATGAATCGCCTGAATCTGTTTCATCGCTCATGCATCCGTTCCATCTTGGGAGTCTCAAGGAGCGATCAGCACTCCTGTCATCTTACTACTGCTGATCTAGCCCAGAGAGCGCGTCTTCCTGAAGACATTGGCACTCTCCTGCGTGAGTACCGTCTGCGTTGGCTGGGTCATGTTGACCGTATGGACGCGGCCCGGATTCCTCACCAAGTGTTGTTTGGGGAGCTCGAGGCAACCAGACCACGGCATGGGCCAAAGAAGCGTTGGCGAGACACGGTTGTCGGTGATCTGCGCTCACTGGATATTCCGGAGTCCGAGTGGTACCGGCTTGCACAAGATCGCCCGGAATGACGCAGGCGGGTCCATCAACTTCGTCTTCCTACCCCGGCACCGAAGGACTTTCACTGCGCATGCGGCAGAGCGTTTAGGAGATTGTATGTGTATGTGTGTGTGTGTGTGTGTGTGTGTGTGTGTGTGTGCGCGCGCGCGTGTGTGTGTGTGTGTGTGTGTGTGTGTGTGTGTTTGGTGGCTGTTGGTGTCCCTCTGGAGCAGCTTGGTACCATTGTCCAAGATCGGTGTTGTAAACCACCAGTTCTCAATTGGGAAAGGCCTTTGCGCTTATGGCATTGTATTCGTTGAAATGTTGTATTTCGACTCCGCCGTACCGCTGATGTTGCTGCATGGCATACGCTATATGCGTTGTGTGCGTTTTGCTGTATACGCTGTTATGTCCAGTTTTATATGCTTATGTTTTGCATGTACGCCGTTTTGCATGCTATAAATAGCTGGTGTTATTAGTGTTCATTGTTAATTATTCGATGAAGTGAAATATACTGTCTAAAGGAAAAGAGTTGTCCTCGTGCCGTGTGGTCGTACGATCCTGACAATTTAGAGAATCTTAGAGGGTTCACAACATTTGGCGACCACGCCAGGATAGGAGCGAGCATGGCAGAGGAACTATGGAACAATTTGGAAGCCAGCTTTATCGACAATGGAGAGCGGTTAGGATTAGAAGGCGAGTTGTTGAAGGTACATGTGGAGCAGAGGCTCCAACAGTACGCGGAGCGTGAGGAGCGCAGTGCCAGACGGCGAGAGGAGGTGCTCCGCACCGAGTTTGCCAAAACACTAAAGGAGATTAACGAGCGCATCGCCAATGCGCATGAGGGTGAGGGTAAAGCCGCGATGGGAGGTACAGAGGAATCTCCCAGTCACAGCGGTGGGCGTCAACCGTTGATGAAAATCCCCTCGTATGATGGAACGCAGCCATTGGAGCGTTATCTTGACCTGTTCGAGGACATCTGTTCCAAGAACGAGTTCGAAGAAAGCGAATGGCTGCTGCGACTGCGCATCGCGCTAGCGGGTAGCAAAGTGGAGAGGATATGTATTGGATGCAATAATTACGAGGAAGCAAAACGAGAGTTGCTTGCCTCGCTCGGAAAGACTCCGGATAAAGCGTGGAAGACATTGCTGACAGGCAAGCAGCGGTCAGATGAGTCGTTTCATCAATACGTTGTCCGTGTTTGCCGAGAGGTAGAGGTGTGGACCACACTCGCTATGACAGAAGATGGCGAGGTGGACACCAAGTATAGCGCCGATATAGGAAAAATGTCCCCGGTGCTGCAAGCAATGGCAAAGCAGGTAATCTTGGAGCAATGCGGACCTGAAATGAAGACGTACCTGGTCGAACGGCAGTGCTACGGGATGTCACTGCGCCAGGTACAGGAGCACGGCGCGTCTTACCAGGTCGCGCACGGACGACAGGGTGATACTGCCAGGAAACCAGTAGAACGATCCGTGCCACGGCCCACGGCGTCGGCACAGTGCATGGCGATATCGGTCGCAGATGCAGAGAAGCAGCTAAAGTCGTTGCCACAGGAAGGGAGAAAGGGTTTTCTGCAGCGAGAGAGACTCTGCTGGAACTGCCTTAAGTATGGCCATATGGCCAGAGAATGTCGGTCAGGCTCGAGATGCACGAAATGCCAGAGGAAACACCACCTGCTAATACATGATGTGTTGGATAGAGCAGGTTACAGCCGGGAGAAACCGACTGAGATAGTTACGGAGAAGAATGTTGGGTCGTGCTGTCTACACTCGCCAAGTGTGCGGCTGATGACCGGAGTGGCACGAGTTGAGGGAAGAACTCGAAACGCGAAGGTTCGCGTGTTCCTGGACTCGGGTGCTGAGGCGTCATTCGTGACTGCAGCGTTGGTGTCAGCAATCGATGCAGAACACGTTGGGGTTGAAAATGTAGAGGTGAAGCCGTTCGGCGCGGAACCAACCCAACAGCGCATGGATAAGTACGCCATCACGATCCAGGGTAGCTCCGCTAGCATTCGGGTACGTGCGATCGTGAAACCAACGCTTGAGCTGGACCTGAAGTGCGCAAGTCCGCAGACCATTGCGCAGTGGCACAGTTGGGGAGTCGAGCTGAGTGACAAGCCTCAACAAGGGACATCAGACGAAATACATATGCTGATTGGTGCAGACTATATCAACGCGGTACTGCACAGCAAGAAGGAAGTTAATGGTGAGACGGTGTGGAACACAGAGATAGGTAATGTATTATCTGGTCCAGCGTCTGCACCAAGTCGAAACAGTCAGCCGGTGACCGTGTCATGTGTCACAGCCCACATTGAACAACTATGGCAGTTGGATGAACCTCCAGAACAACATCAGCACCTGCCATCGTTCCCGCTATGTCGCCAGGGCAGCGGGTACCAAGTGGGTCTCTTGTGGCGAAATGAGCGTCGCCCAACGGATAACTTTGCTCAAGCTAGAGTCATCGCAACGCGGCTTCTTGAAAAGCTGAAGAGGAATGGGAAGCGTGCGCTCTATGATGATGTGCTGATCAGGGAGTACCGCGAGCTTGGAGCAATTGAGCTGGAGCCATGTGAGAGCGATGCCGGGTACTATGTACCGCATCATGGTGTATTCCGCGAGCACGCTGCAACCACGAAGTTAAGAGTGGTGTTCAATGCCTCGGCGACGGCTCCAGATGGCAAGTCGTTGAACGACATGGTTGACCCTGGACCGTCGCTATTGCCGAGTCTCGCAGGTATGCTATTACGGTTCCGTGAATATAAGAGCGCGCTGCAAGCGGACATCCGCAAGGCTTTCTTCATGGTCGCGGTTAATCCCGAAGACCGTCCGTACCTGCGTTTCTTGTGGCCCGGTCGAAGCGACAGCGATGAACTGTTAACCTGGAGGCTAAGGAAACTGCCATTTGGCGTAAACTGCTCGCCGTACATGCTTACTGCGGTGATTCAGCATCACTTGAAGGAGCTACGGGCGTTGTCTGCACCCAAAGAGCGAGATCGTATTGATCTCTTGCTCACGAGTTTCTACGTTGACGATTTGGTCTCTAGTGTCTCAAATGCCTCGGAAGCCAAGGAGATGCAAGAGTTCAGCGTGCGTGTGCTTACGGATGCTGGCATGGAGTTACGCAAGTGGCGAGGCAACGAAATCCCGTGCGATCCAGAGGCCGGAGATAAAGTCCTCGGTCTGAAATGGAAAACCAGTGATGACTTGCTCAGCATAGCAGCGCTAGGCGAGTCCGATAGGCCGTCTGTTTGGACCCGGCGATCCCTCCTCAAGTGTGTTGCATCAGTGTTTGATCCGCTAGGTCTAGCAGCACCGGCAGTTGTGCCGGGAAAGATACTGCTACAGCAAGCCTGGAAAGTCGGAGGCGACTGGGATGATATGTTGCCTGATGGCATCGCAGCCGCATGTGCGCAATGGTGGGGAGAGTTGGCCGAAGTGGTGAGCATTGACATACCACGTTGGATTTGCTGCAATCTTGACACGCCGATTGCGCTTCATGCCTTCGCCGATGCCAGTGAGAAAGCGTTTGGACGTTGTTTGTATGCAGTCGTCAATGGACAGTCGCACTTGGTATTTGCCAAGGCCAAAGTGGCACCTGTGTCTCCGCCCACGTTAGCCCGCCTTGAGTTACAAGCAGTATGTCTAGCGGCTCGCTACGCTGAGTTTGTGGTGAAGGAGCTGCGTGTGACCGTCACGCAAGTCTATGGCTGGACTGACAGTCTCACTACCGTTCATTGGATCAGTAATCCATCGTACAAATGGAAAACATTTGTGGCTAACCGCGTCAGTCAAGTCCAAGAGATATCGAAGAAGGTCGGCATTGTGTGGAACCATTGCCCGGGCCTTCACAACCCAGCAGATTTACCGTCGCGTGGGAGTAGTGCACAGCAGATCCGTAGTCCGTTCTGGAGGGGCGGACCAACCTGGATCACGGAGCCCAATGACTGGCCCACCGCATCCTCAACCGCAGCTACAGATGAGTCCAGTGTAGAAGTACGAGTGTCAGCCACCACCTGTAGTCGAGAATCTGATAAGGAATGGTGGCTTCGATTCAGTAAATGGTCGAGGGCACAGGGCATGGTGACTCGGATGTTGCAGTGGAAGCACACTGAGCCTCGTGCTGAACTCTATTTTGCAGCAGACAACGTATTGTACCGCATCGTTCAAGCCGCATGTTTCGCTGAGGATCTTGAGCTGATCAAGCAAGGTCAACCAGTGAAGCCTGGGTCGAAGGTGTATCAGCTTGCACCGTTTCTGGATGAGCATGGAGTGCTCAGAGCCGGGGGACGACTTCAGCACAGCGAGTTGGCGTATGGAGCCAAGCACCCAGTCCTGTTAGGCAAACATCATCTGACCGAGTTGCTGTTGGAGAAAATGCATGTTGAAAGGATGCACCAAGGTGTAGAAGGAGTCTTGTCGTTCATCCGTCAGAAATTTTGGATTATCGGTGGTCGACGGGCGCTACGCAACATTACTCAGCGATGTGTTACATGCCGCCGCTACAAGGCTAAGGCTGCCTCAGAAGTCTGCCCGCCGCTGCCGGAAGACCGAGTTGTTCACGAGAGGCCGTTCGCAACTACCGGCATCGACTATGCTGGTCCGTTGTACGTGCGCCGTGGTGAGTCATCTCCGAAGGTATGGATAGCATTGTTTGTGTGTGCCACCACCAGAGCAGTTCACTTGGAGGTGGTCGATAGTTTAAGTACTGAGTCATTCTTGATAGCATTTCGGAAGTTTGTCGCGAGACGTAGTTTGCCATCTCGGATCAGGTCTGACAACGCTACAACGTTCAAGGCGGCATCTGACAAACTGAGTGTGCCATGGATGTTCAATCCTCCAGCTGCACCATGGCATGGAGGCTTCTATGAGCGAATGGTTGGTACAGTGAAGAGTGCCTTGAAAAAGGTAATGGGAACAGCGTTTCTGAAGGTCCAGGAGCTTGAGACCCTCTTGTATGAGGTTGAAGCAGTGGTGAATAGTCGTCCGCTAACTTATGTGTCTGATAGCCTGGATGAGCCACCAGTAACCCCTGCAATGATGATGGGTAACATCTGGATGTCGTCAGAGAAGCCAGCAGGTACCCTGGACGCTGCGCAGATGTCATCGAGATTGCGTTACCTCAGTCGGACACTGGAGCATGTCAAGAATCGTTGGGAGGTGGAGTACCTAAGTCAGCTGAACAAGCACCAACAGACCATGTCGCGCCCTTTAGCTATGGGTGATGTTGTCTTTGTTCTCGATGATACCAAGCGCAAACAGTTCTGGCGTTTGGGACGGATCATCGAGTTATTCCCTGGTCGAGATGGTAAGCGTCGTGTTGCCAAGGTTAAGTTGAGTACCAGTACCCTGTTGAGGCCGATCCAAAGGTTAGTGCCATTAGAAGTATCGTCACAGGACGTGGCCCCGGGGTATGCCGATACCGCTCAACCTGCTATCGTCCCTCAGCAGCCAGCGTATGAACCGTCAGCACCGTTACCACCACCACGGCAGCAGGAGATGACGCGTTCTGGGCGCGTAGTCAGAGCCCCGGATCGTTTTTGACTTGTGTGCATTGTTGTACGGCGGTGAGAAGCCCTTTGGTGGGGAGAATGTTGTAAACCACCAGTTCTCAATTGGGAAAGGCCTTTGCGCTTATGGCATTGTATTCGTTGAAATGTTGTATTTCGACTCCGCCGTACCGCTGATGTTGCTGCATGGCATACGCTATATGCGTTGTGTGCGTTTTGCTGTATACGCTGTTATGTCCAGTTTTATATGCTTATGTTTTGCATGTACGCTGTTTTTGCATGCTATAAATAGCTGGTGTTATTAGTGTTCATTGTTAATTA